TTCCGCTGTGACGAACGGGCCTATTACCAGTTGGCCTATGACGAATGTGCACATGACAAACGGGCCTACGCCCAGGTCACGTGACCCCCCCCCCCCCCCAGTACCCTTCCCTCCTCCTCAAGAGCTGCGCTCAAATTTGGCGTTACAGGGAGTTGTAAACGGCTTTCACTTTTTTCGATTAAAAGGTTAAAAGGCGCGAACAAACAGGGCGAAAAAGAGACACGCACGACACGGACAGGCGCCTGTCCGTGTCGTACGTGTCTCTTTTTTCGTCCTGTTTGTTCGCGCCTTTTAACCTTTTAATCAATATGAACCAACTAGCCCCAACCAAAGTTTTATTGCTTCACTTTTTTCATTCATTATTTATGGATTCTTTTGGTGCAATATGTTTATCATCCTGGAAATAATTTTAATGAGCTATTGAAAGTCCTGCATTTTTTTGTGTTCGTTGGTGCATGTTTTTTATAGCTTCGTTTTTCATTCATTATATATGAATCCTTTTGGTGCAATATGTTTATCATGCTAAATATAATTTTAATGAGCTATTAGAAGCCCTGCATTTGTTTTCTGTTCATTGATGCCTGTTTTTATAGCTTTGTTATTCTTTCGGAATTTAGACATTTAAAGCAGAACCATGGTATGAAAATATTTTTGTGCAGTTTATTGTGGGCTAATATGAAAGGATGCTTCATTTTTTATTCTCAAACCTGGTTCTGCTGTTTTGTGCAATATGACCCCTGACTATCTATTGTTTTATATCGTACTTTTTGTGAATGTGAATAAATTGCGTGTAGAAAATTACTTTCTGTGAAGGTACAGTCGCAACAGGATTTAATAGCTCCATGCAAGTGCACATTTCTTTCTGAAGGGAGCTTGACTGGCAGCTTTCGATAAAACTAGAGCTGTTAACATCTGCCATGATAGCAGCGCTTTCCTTCAATTGAGCGGCTTCTCCCGTACACTCCACGTGGACTCGCCATGACGTCAGCTCTAGTTCTATTGCAAGCCGTTAGTCAAGCACCCCTCAGACAAAAATGTACGCTCACACGGAGCTGTTAACTCTAGCAGCGACTGTACAATTTATTGGCACTTTCCATACACATGCCACACAGACATGCTCATGCCATAACACTCGTTAAGTTTGCGAGATATGGCAGCTGAACCTGGCATATCTCACACGCTCGTGAAGCCGACCCTTCTGAAAAAAACCGTATAAAAATTCATACTGGTTGACCCGTATATCTCATACGGTGTTATGGGATACGGGTCTCCCGTATGCTACTGGGAACCCGAACCTGTACAGGTTGACCCATTCATATAGAGGAACCCGTTCAGATCCGGGGCCCGTACCTGTACGGGTTGACCCGTTTAGGTAAGTGAAACCGTGGCTGCACGGGTCGACCCGTTTAGATGCAGGAACCCGTACCTTACAGGTTGACCCATTTAGATATAGGAACCAATATTTATGCATGCTCATCTGTTCAGATAGAGAAACCTTATCTTTAAAGGTTTATCCGTTCTGACGCAGTAATAGGAATCAACATGGTGTCCGACGTTTGCAAAGGGATGGATGGATCTTTGCAGGTTTAACAATTCGCATGCATTTGTCATGCAAAGAATGAGCATGAGCCAGGTCATTTCAGGTTATATGTGTATTTAGTGAACGCAAATTGGCTTCTGCAGAACACCAACAAGAAGCTTAACCTCTAAGCAAGCTTAGAAGTCAAACTTCTAGTTAATATCCTGCAGTAGGATATTAACAAATTTGCATACTGCAGTAGATTCACCCGAGCTGTCCTCTTCCCTGGAGAGGCCTCTCGAGGATGCCTCCATAGGTACTCGTTGAAGGCAACAGCAGGGGAAAAGAATACAACAATAGTTCATGTATATTTAGTTTGCTAAAAAATTTAATATTTTACTTCCTGCAATAATAAGCAAGCAATTTCCACTACAATTTATGCTTTGTTAATATCTTGTGATACCATGTAGACCCCAAGAGCAACTTCTTACGATTACGCAGTCTGCTTAAAACAGCAGGCATGCGTGATTCGGCCCGAAAGTTTTGAACCAGTTCAGACCGAGTTCAGAGGAGTGCAGGGGGGGACAAAAAGGAACGGAAAGACACAGAGCTCCGAAGCTTCGTGTCTGTCTGTCTCTTTTTTTCCCCACGTTCCCGGGTTACCACGTCTATCCTTAACCAGCTCGCCTGCCTGTTAACTAAAATAAAAGTATGTTCTATAAATCTAAATATGTATTTTCCATTATGAACATGGGCCTCTGATTGCCTACAACCTCTAACTTATTTCATGCCGGACAATGTCACCATGGGAACAAGTGAAAGGAACACTGAACACACAATTCTCGACCGGCAGTTTTAGTGCGGAAGAAAGATTTTGACCTGCAATTGTTGTTCTGGGCATGTATATAAATTGACAAGAATTTTTGATATCAAGAACCATTTAACTAATTTAATATCCGTGTTACAACCCTTCAATGGTCTATTTATACGAGATAGTTCCCTGGTAAGAAAACTGAGCACTAGAAAGGAGGAATACCCACGATGAGAAGGCGGTTCAGAAAAAATGGGCAGTACCCAAAGGACAGAGCCAAACATAGTTCGGTTGTAGCAGTTCTAGTGAACAAACAAACTCACTTTCACAACTTTGCTAGTGCCAGCTTTTTGTTCAAAAGAAAAAATAGGTGCCTCAGCAGAAGGTCCTGCGAGCAGGCCACTGATATCATGGACCTCTCCCAAAACTTGCAGGGGTTAGCAGATATTTGCAATGCGGAGCATGTTACTGTAAAACCTCCTCAGTGTGAATACATCAGAAAGCACCAAGCGACCTAGATGACCGTGACAAGGTCACTTTACTTCTTCTTCATATATTAAAAACAAAGAGGAAGTTAGGGCTTCTTCATTTCGGTTTTGCGCTCGGAGCTTCACGTTCCTAAAGCTCGAATAGTCGAACTGTGACCCTTCAACAGCCTATAACACAAAGTTTGAAAGCCTTGGAATATTTTATGACATTATATTTGTCGTAGCAGGTTGCAACTTCAGAAGCCATAAGGTTTGAGTGACTCACCAAGTATGAGACATCTGTGAGAAGTGGGCACTTACTGTTGTAGATTATCATTTGCGTAGGTCAGGGATTGAAAGGAATCGCGATCGTTGAGGCGTTTGCTATGCGTCGCTGCAAACATAACATACGCACCACCTTCGTGAGCGTATCTCGAAAGGGGGTTGATTTTTTACGCCCGGAACGTTTGGCCGCCGTTTCCTCTGCGTGACGTTACCAGTCAGCATTGGAGATAGCGAGATTTAGCAGGCCGTTTTTCTTCTCCGTATCGGTATCCCCAAAGAAGGCGCAGCAACTGAGGATGCACGCCTTCAGTCTTTTCTGCATAGTTCAGGGTCTCGGGGCGGATGACGCAGAGCTAAACTGGCGCTTAGCGGGTTGCGGAAACTCCCTATTCTCCTAACTCTATTCTTCCGTACTACCTTTACCTTCCCGGCCCTTTTATTCTCCCTTCTTTCTTGCCCTAGTCCAGTTTCCCTTACAGAAATACGTTTCGAAGTCTAAGTAAATAAATATTGTTGCAGTTCAGGGTTGCCTTCCGGCGCTTTGGCCTTTTAGCAACTTCATTATCTGGCGTTCAGCATTATGATGTTTGCTATTTGATTATGCGATGTATTGAACTCAACAAATCACCTCTATTCCCCAAGAAAAAAAAGCCATAATTTTCAGGACAAACTTTAATATTCTGAGTTGATAAACATCTGCCGGTGAGGAAAATACTAAATTGGTTACAACCGAAAAACGCCGGTGGTTGGAAATATTCTGCCTGCGTAAAACCAAAACACTCCAGTCGGTGACTGTTCCCGCCCTAGCGACGGCTAGTTTCTTCGAAACGCCTCTTCTGTAGAAGTTTGTGAAACATTTTATCTCGTCGATTCTCCATCCTTCCAGTGCCTATTCAGAGGTCGGTGTGGTTCTTGGAAGACAACGTCAACAACATTAGAGTCGTCCGGAACCATTTACTTTAGAAACGCGCCTCTTCGCTTGGGGAACTGAGATGCGTTGATTGTTATTTGTTTCTTTCGCCTACTACAGACCGTTCAAGAACTCACCTTCTGGGCGCCACCAACTTCGTCTACTGGGCTTTGAAGCGCGTTGGAGCGTGCACAATAGCTCTCTAGGCCGAAAGATTGTACACTGCGTATGCGTTCACAGCTCAATGACTTAGGCATTTTTCGTCGGGATATATGCTCCCACGCAAAGAGCGCATGAGATGTGTGAATAGAATTAGAAATTTGAAATGTTCTTGTACAATCGCACTTCTCTTCCTTGGTTATCAACGCTTTTTAGCGTCATCACGAGGCATCCAATCATAATAAACTGGTGTTTAAAAAAATAAGCACCGAAAAACATGCAGCGATTTTCGCTCAAAAATAAACACCGGAAAAGCGTACCCTAATCATTACCCATGTCACCTTTTTGGGCAATACGTAGATTTCCAGAAGAACAGCGAGTTATCCCCCTCCCCTAGGAATACCCTGAGTACAGAGCAGGCGACCCGTTTTTCCCCGCGTCAGATTGCGGTGACCACGAACCGTACGGAGCTCACAGAACGTCCGTGAAAAATGTAAAGAAGGCAAAGAACGATCTACTCTGTGCGCGTTTCATCCCCGACTTCCACGACCCCAAGGTGGAAGGACGTCTGAGTGAAAGATAACGATAAAATAAAACTTTGCGTCAGAAAAAAAAAAGTACAAACAATTACAACGCATTGACGGACCACGAGGTTGTGGAACACCTCGCGGCCCGCTGGCCATAGGACGGTTGTCTTCGACCCATAGCTCCAAGGTGAATTTGCCACGTGCGAAAACACGGAGACCTATCCACCGAGAACCAGGAAAGCGAGACACGCACACTGACGCCTCAGCGTGCACAATGAAACAGGATACGGGCGCGGAATACAGCCGCAGAAGAACACCTTACGGCGAGCCTCGCACGGTCGCGGCTTGAGGACCACCTTCACTCCTCTCGCTAACAAAACCATCCGGCCTGGAACACAATGGCACGATCTCACCAGGAACCTCAACGTGCGAAGCTTCCACACACTGTCGCTTACGAGTGTTCTCAACCAGGGACTTCTTTAGCTTTCGCTCGCCGTAGGAAGCCTGCTTTCGACCCATGACGCCAGAGGCGAACGCAACACTTCCGAATGGCAAAAATTCGAACGCACCAAACGCCAAGCGCCGCAGCGTTGAACTGAACCGCGTTCGCTGTCGCTCGAATAAAAAAAAATCGCGTATGAATACAAAAAAAAATTGTGTGCACCGAACTCCACAATCTACTAGGGAGCCTACATACTCGCCGACTCCGTCTGTAGGGTGGTGTCATCCTTTGACACACCACTCGCCGCCACCCGCCGCCCACCAGTGTTGCCAGCATCGGTTGCCATGGCCACCAGAAGGCGCCACGCCATCTTGGTCCCCAGACCGCCCGCTGCCCGCTCGGCGCTCGTCCAGCCAGGCTGGCTAGGCCTATCTTCGATAGTCGCAACGGCGTCGCACCGTGTTCATTCTCCGGCTGGTGCTGTTGTGTTTTGCGGAGTCGTTCGCAGCGAAGAAGTGTGGTAGCAAGAGAGGCGTGAGAAGCAGAAATGCCTGACTGTTCTGTTCCGCAGTGCACGAACTACTGCAGACGGGGCACACGTATGTTCCGTTTCCCGAGTAGTCCTACTCGAAAGAAACGTTGACTCGCTCAAGTCAAACGAGACCGCTGGGAACCCACTGCAGCTGCTCGTGTTTGCGCCGTGAGTACAAGTTTTGTTGCACCTTGATCGCAAGTGTAAGTGGGATGTTTAGCGTCACTCTGCAAAAAGCGAGCGTCTCCGGTTGCGCGTCGGGAGCACATAAACAGCGTCGCGAGTTCCGAATTCGAGCCTTAGCGGCATTGCAATATCACAGGTGGAGACGGAGCCTGCCTTCTCCGTATCAGGGTTTGCTCGCCGCGCGTCGATCTCAGGACGCGCGCGTTGCACACGCGTTTTGAATGCACCGATGAGAGTACCGGGACATTTCATCGAACGCCGATTCATCGCACGCGGTTTTATCGAATAACTTGACGCTGTTTCATCGAATTTCCCTTTACTGAATTTTGGAGTAATACAATACTTTTTACGTAATTTACTCTCGTCTCTGAAATAGTTTTGGCGCCGGTCAAAATTCACCGGGAATAGAATTACTACCCGCTCAATTTTTTGTCCACCTAAACGTTTACTACTGAATCATAGAAGGTAGCTATCATATCAAAACTTGAGTGGATACGCGACTTATGCTTTTCTGGCGAGGTAGGCGGAGTTTCTCGGCCACACACTTTTCCCACTTCATATGTCTATTTATTGCCTTTCACCGCAGTGAAAGTGCCTTTCACTGCGTGAAACGCACTTTCTTAAGAGGGAAACAGCTATTCTCTGCAGCACCTTTTTTAGTTCGTATTTGTCGATTTACCTGTGTTTTCATTTTATCCAAGAAGAATTGCTCTCTTTTTAAGAACATATATGTTCTTAAAAACGACGAGTCTCCCCTCTTCGTTAATTTATTGTAACCGACAGAATTGTGGACTTGTCCGATCTTTGACACGTCTTTATTTCCCCCATATCATGTGACACGGAGACAAGCTGCTTCAAGGACGGCTTCGTCTTGAAGCAGAATCCGTCACTGCACCTGATGATAACAGCTTTAAAAATGTTCGTTAGTGCTCCCGTTTTTTATTGGCCTCATTAACGGAGGTCATCATTTATTAAAAAAAAATAGAAGGTGGCAAAAAAGATTTCTTCTTTTTATATATGTATAAGTTTATAAATTATAATAAATATTAAATCACTGCTATCCTCCCGGCGCTAAAAGAAAAAAAAATATTTCCTAGATGTAGAATTCCTACTGCTCAAGCAGGTGGCGTTCGATGAAATGGCGTTCGATAAAACTGCGCTTGATAAAACTGCTTCGATAAAACGGTGTTTTATGAAATGGCGTTCAAAGAAATATCCGGACCCACACCGATGAGTACTATCAAGTTTGTTCGGGAAATAAAAATACAAGCTTCGTTTACCAAGCTGCTGCAAACAACGGTTTGGCTCAGAATTTATATTAAAAAACAAGGGTTTTGAAAACATTTTGATGAGGACCTAGTTTTTGCTTACTCGATTTTTCTCGACTTGTTCAGCTTCCAAAAATATTTCTTGAACACATTTTTCGCAAGCCTCTACACCACGTAGCGGTTCGTTCACAGGATTAAATTTTTGGGATTGATTTCCAAATCGAAAAATTAAAACATCGCTAAAATTAGGTAGTTTTCAGTAATTTGATTAAGTCCCGTATGCAGGTGTGTATTGGATTTATTGATCCACTAATGCCTCTTCTGTTTTTTCGTTTGGCTAACGCTTGACTAGCGAAGCCACAGCAGACCTCACATAACAACTGTGAGTGTGTTAAAAAAATTTAGTTGGTGATGGAGTTCACTCCTAATTCTGTTTATAGTGTTAGTCAACTAAACGAGCAGGCACATTGCTCTCTTTGGAGTATTTGCTAACTAATTTAAAATTAACTTTTCTTTTTCGGCTCATTTTGAGGACAGCAGTTTTGAACAAAACCGGCAGGACGGGTTGAAAAAACTGAGGCCAGATGCTGTTCCAACACTTTTTCCTTATCGTGGTAAGTTTTAATATTGTGTAAGCCTGTTCATAGGTATATTTGAGTGGACTTCTGAACTTCCAAGGGTTTATTTTTGTGTAATATTTTAAAACTATTCTTTCCCAGCATTTTCTTGTTACACAATGCGTGCTTAATGTAACATTCTCTCTGAACTAGTCTAATATTCTCGTCTTTTGTAGACTTCGTAAAACGAAATATAGACAGACTAGTTCTCACAGTACCAAGGTCGTTAATTGTTAAACAGTTTGAACAACTAGACGTGATGCGCAAACAGTTTGGGTCCGCAACCTCTAAAGCGTTTGAATGCCGCCTAGCAACGCTATTATTTATTTCATAGCCTTCTATCTAGTACCTAAGGACTGATAAAGAAAACCTTTATATTTTTAATATTGTGTTTTTTTCAGTCTCTTAAAAATGCATATGCATTAAAAACTAATGTATATATATTTATTGACTTTTTACAGCCATCCCAAAACACAGAAAGGCCCCCAAAAAGCGTGCTCAGGGATCAACATCCATTCCATCACCACCAACTCTACATGGCAGCACAAGCGACGCAAACCGTGCTGCTTCACCTATGATGCTTGTACAGTGATGGCTACCCCACTGCCAGAAGCTCTCGACGTCGCTGCCACAGACACTGCTCAGTCCAAGCGTGCGTGTGCAGCAACAGCCGTTCCATTGCTGTTAACCTTTGACGAAAGTGTAACCACCAAGGACAATGCTCCTCGATCAAAGCGTATTTGTGCAGCGGCAGACATTCCACTGCAACTTGCTCTCGCCGACACTACAAGCAACATAAACAACGCTGCTCAGTTAACGTATGCTTGTGCAGTAACAGCCATTTCTATGCCACTAGCTCTCGACATCTCTGCAAGCAGCACAGACAACGCCCCAGCCAAGCGTGCCTGTGCAGTGACGATTGTTTCAATGCCATCAGCCCCCGACGAGAGCGCAACCACTACGAACAGTGGGTCCGATACTTGCTGCTCATCGGCAGCCTTTTTACGGCAACCAGTTCTCAACAACAGTGCAAGCGACATGGACAATGCTGCTCAGTCCGAGTATGCTTGTGCAGTGACAGCCGTCTGTCAGCCTTTAGCTTTTGATATCTCTGCAAGCAACACAGAAAATGCTTTATTCATGCAGGATTGTACAGCGACAGCCGTCTCACTGCCCTTAGCCCCAAACGACAGTGCAAGTACCACAGACAATGCTCCTCGGTCAAAGCATACTTGCACAGTGACAACCGTCCCACGGCAACAACCACCTCTCGACAATGGAGAATGTGACCTGGACCACCATGCTCGATCTCCTCTTTTCATTACCCCAGAGCCCAGGTCTGAGCTTGTTTGTTCTACTGCATTGGAACAACCCGGTGGTTCTCCAGGTCCAATTGTTCAGGAGCTGAAGGAAAAACTGCAGCCTGAAGTCGGGTCTTCAGAAGGACTAACAAGCTCGTCCGCTGTTTTCACGTTTGGAAGTAGTACCACCCAAAGTATGTTACTGATGCATCGCCAAAACTCCCAGCTTCGAAAGAAAAACTCCGATCTGGCCCGGAAGTACCGAAACTTGCAAAGGCTCCATGATGAAGCCAAATCAAGACTGCGAAGTCTCACAAAAAAACTGACATCAGCTCAGAAAGAAATAAGTGCTTTGAAAAGTTCAAGATTTCTGAACACAGACTAAACAAAGGCTTTGACTGTGAAATCAATGAAGGGACATAAGTGGTCAGAGAAGACTATTCAAGTTGCCCTTCAAATCAAGCACGCATGCGGTACATCAGGGTATGAACTGCTGAGGTCCCTGTCATATCCGCTACCCTCGAACAGAACGTTGATTCGGAGACTCCAACACATTAAGTTTCTGCCTGGGGCTCTTGACGAAGTTTTCGAAGTGCTAAAGCGGAAAGTGCAGACTATGGAAGACATAGAGAAAGACTGTGTTCTCTTTATGAATGAGATGGAGATTAGTCAGGGATTTGACCACGACAGTTCACTGGATCGTATTTTTGGAAGCACCACACTCCCAGAATCCCGTGTGAATGTCGCGAACCATGCCCTTGTGTTTATGGTTGGGGGAATAAACACGGTGGAAGCAAGTGATTGCATACCACTTCACTGGACGATCAACTGACGAAAGTGCTTTAAAGGAGCTTGTCTTTCATCTCATTGAACTATGTTTCAACATCTCTCTCAAGGTGATCATAGTTACAAGTGACATGGGATCAGCAAACCGTGCTGTGTGGCGTCTGCTCAACTTTTCAAATCACAGGCACTCTGAGACCGTGTGTTCTGTCCCACACCCACACCTCGACGGGAGACAGCTCTATTTCATGGTTGATCCAGCGCATGTTTTAAAAAATATTCGTGCCCAACCTGCTTCGTTCAGAGACCTTTACTTTAGGAGAAGAGACTCCGAGAGAGCACAACCTCCCAGGAGGGACCGTGGACATCCACCATGTTGAAGCTGTTCTTGCATACGATGCAAACAATGAACTCAAGATCGCCAACAGGCTTTCTGGCATTCACGTCAGCAATGGACATTTCACAAAAATGAAAGTGAGCATTGCTGTGCAATTGTTCCGTGAGGCTCCTCCCGCAATCCGCTACCTAATTCAGCAAAAAGTCTTGCCGCCTGAAGCTGAGGCAACAG